GGAGGTGTGAGGGTCCCCAGGAGGAGAAGCAGGACAAGGCTTTCATGGCAAGTTGTCCATTCTATGAGCAGGGTAGACGCTGTGCAGCTGGGTGACCCCCTGAAGGAGAGCTGCCCAAGACAGACTGTGTTCCTCCCATGCCCAGCAGCTTGTGTCCCCAGGTTTTTAGGGACACAGTCCCCTCTGCAAGCTTGGTGCTCTGGTAGCAATTTGTTGTTCCCATTCACTCTTTGCAGATTTTCTGTCTCTGGTTTGTTAGCCAAGGGTAAGTGGACATCTTGCTCTGACATGTCCACAAACATGGCCCCTCTCCTCCTCAAAAATCCCAGCAAGCACGGCTTCCAAACCAAACAGGGGCTGTGATTATTTAAAGACAGCCCTTGGATTCCACCATCCATTCATCCTTCTTGGATACAAAAATAACATATTGTTTTATCTGTGAGTATAAGAATGTTTTTTTCAGAGGAAATAAAGAGAGCAGACAGTTTCCTTCCTGACTCATTCACAAACTACTCTTTCAATCCGCTAAACACAGCCATCGGCACGAGGCATTGCTCTGTTCCTTTTGATCTGCAGTCCCACACTCCAAGAGCCGCCAGGATGAAGGGAAGGCTTTGGTACCCACAGAAGTGGTCACAGGGTCTCAGTTTCTCAGAAAGACAAGCAAGTGGCAAAGCCTAGAGTGAGTCCCACACTTAAGCCCTGGTCTCATCCCTCCAGCTCAGGGATTGGGTAAGAGGCTGCTGTTCCCTGGCAGAGGGACAGACACTCCAGCACAGGGATGAGTGAGAAAACCTCCAGTTTTGTCCCTTCAGACAGTAGGAAGAGATAAGGTGGAAAAGCATTTTCCTTGATCAGAGAAAAAAACTCTCATTTTTTCTTCTCTAGTCTCAAAGCTACAGATTTTAATATGGTAGACTTCATTTCCTGCTTATCTAAGAGCTTCCATAGGAGTCACAGAGAACATTGCCAGTGGTCCCCCAAGACATGTAACCAGAGAAGAAGACTTCCTGGCTGCTGTCTCTTCTCTCCTCTGGATCACAGACTAGTAGATATGCCTTCCTAGAAGCCATCTGAAAGAATGCTTGTGGTTGTAATAAATAGCCAAGCTGCAATGATGTTAAAAATCAATACAATAATGAATTACATTGTCCAGGACTATCAATCAGTAGGATGCATTGGACAGCAAGCCCTTAGGCACAATTTATTCTTTTAGGTATTATAGAGGCTGTAAAAACCTTAGTATCATTAATACGGAGATAGGTGGGTTTAACTCCTTGATTAAATCAGTTAGAACAGCCCAGAAGTACATATACTTATCCCTGACTTTTTAGATCAAAAACATCATTGTATATTGTATTATCAAAGATGACCATTAACTGAGACCGCTAACACAGTCATGGCAGAAAATCAGTACTGATTTACTAGCTGTAATTGTCTTCTGCTGTAGAGTAGTATCCAAATACTCAGTAACATTCAGATACATTTAGCAATTTTATGAGAACATCCACAAAGACATAACCCGTGCCTGAGAGACCTGGTGATCGTCAAATTGTCTTCTATAAAGAGAAACTAAATGCATTTAGGACTATTTACTTAACACATGAGATCAGTAAGATAGGTTATGTCAAATTCAATTGATACATGGAAATGACTTAAATGGAGAATGTCAACCTACTTCTCATATCTCATAACTCATGAACCAAAAGGGTATTCAATGAAACTGAGAAGTCACTGGATAAAATTTATTTTTATGCAGTGTAAAATTACTTGATAGAAGTCATTGCCACAGGCCTGAGTCAAACTTGTCAGAAGGCAGAACAATGCTGGACATCTAAATGAATAGTAAAATAACTCAAGTAATGGTTACAGAAATAACTAGATCATAGCTACATACAAGAAGTACCTTTGAAAAATGCATACGTAGCTACTGCTACACTAAAATCAGAGCATGGAATTATAGAACCGTATGGGTTGGAAGGGACCTTAAAGATCATCCAGTTCCAACCCCCCTGTCATCAGCAGGGACACCTTCCACTAGACCAGGTTGCTCAAAGCCTCATCCAACCTGGCCTTGAACACTTCCAGGGAGGGGGCATCCACAACTTCTCTAGGCAACCTGTTCCAGTGTCTGACCACCCTCACAGTGAAGAATTTCTTCCTAATATCTAATCTAAACCTACCCTCTTCCAGTTTGAAGCCATCACCCCTTGTTCTATCACTACCTGCCCTTGTAAAAAGTCCCTCCCCAGCTTTCTAGTAGGACCCCTTCAGGTATTGGAAGGCCGCTATAAGGTTTCCCCTAAGCCTTGTCTTCTCCAGGCTGAACAGCCCCAACTCTCTCAGCCTGTCCTCAGAGGAGAGGTGCTCCATCCTTCTGATCATATTCGTGGCCCATTTCTGGACTTGCTCCAGTAGGTCCATGTCCTTCCTGTGTTGGAGGCCCCAGAACTGGACACAGTACTCCAGGTGGGGTCTCACAAGAGCACAGTAGAGGGGCAGAATCACCTCCCTTGACCTGCTGACTGTGCTTCTCTTCTAGTCCAATTTGGCAGTTCACTTTACATTGAAAACAAACAAATGAAAATATCCCAGGCCTCTAATTTCTATGGAATTAACCTGAAATGGGAAAATAAGTGGGTAGAAGAGTGTTCCTTATTCTGATTTTTGTTTGTTTTGATGATACTAAATTTACATTTCTCTTCTACCCTGGACCGATCCTTGCTGGGTTGAGGCAATTCTTCTTTTTAGGTCAGCGTAAACATGCTCTGAGTTAGCATTTCCTGCTAGGCTTCCTTTCCAACCTGGTATGCTTCCCTTGCTAGGACTTCCTTCAAAATGCTGCCTTCAGAGATGACTGCCCGAGCCCCAAGTCATACCCCCACTGTTCCAGCCTCAGTAAGAACATCACCCTGGCAAGCTTGCTCTTCCCATTTAATGTCATGTTTTACCTTGTACCGTCACATAGGCTGCACTCTCCACGGACCCTTTTAAGTTGGTGGCTATACACTGGTAAAGTCCTTCATCCTCCTCTTTTACTCTTTCAATAAACAGCATACGGCTTCCAGGCCCTAAAATTATTCCTGTGAAATGAAATATTTTGCAATGAGAGGGAGCCAGGATATAAACAAAAACATGTGCTTGTGTAATAGTATCTGCTTCAAGTTCTTCTCAAAAGAAATCTGAGCCACGGACTGCACAGCACAATGTTATCTGCAGGAAAGCCAAATGTACTTGAATGTTTTGGGAATCTTTTGGAAATCAGTGTTTACAAAGCACTTGTGTGAGTGAAAAAGCTCAGCCTAAGGGAATGATCTTGGGAGCACTTAGTATCGTGTATATTGACTAGCACCATGCCTAGATTTTCATTCAAGTGAGTTCTTTAGCATGTCTCCAAGTTTTGGAAAATGGGTGGTCTGATTACTTAGCACTGCACTTACAGGCATAGGTCTGCACCAGAAGCAGCTTGAGCTTCAAGCACTTCCAAGATCCAGCTCCACATTGGACTTATTGGCAGCAGACTTGCTCCAAATCTCACTTGCCCATGTCGCATGGAATGATGGGTCCCTTTTTGGATGGACCCCAGCTATAGTGCAAAGAGAGGTCCCATGAGGTGTACCCTAAAACACAGGAGTTTCTTGAAGTTTTCAACACCTTGTTTATTACAGATGGGTCAACCCAAAACCCAGCCTGGGCAATACTCCAACAAGCGAGGAAGAGGCAGGCAGCAGATTTGGCCTCAGGTCTGCCTTTAAGGCACTGTATAGCCAGGAAATGTGCAGTCAAGTACACACTTGTGCATTTGGCTCCATCAGAACTACTTTCCCATCAAAATGTATTCCCACCATCTATTTCAAGCACCTAGCTAAAGTGCCCCAACGTACTCTCTACAGATATCTTCCTGGCTCCTAACTTTATGTGTTGCATTACACCCAAGTTATACACACAACACTAATTTTAGAAGATAGTGTTAATAATGCACATTACAATGATGTGGTCACTGTAAATCTCCATGGAATCTGGCTCTAGATTAAGTTTAGTGTCTGTGCTGCAAGTCTGCAGAGGCTTATAACTCACTTGGAGAAACCCTTAGATTTTTTTTCCCAGTTGCCTTTATTCTTGCCATAGGAATTTCCAATAATGCAGGACAGAACCTTAAACACAAACTTTCTAAAATGTTGTTACTGAAGACTACACTTAGGATTCAAGTTTCTACAGACCAGATTGAACATTTTTGCTGAGCCTGTAACACTAGTTAGTTGTGTGCTTCTGATCCAAAGGTGGGTGAATTCCTATGAGAAAGGTTTTGCCTTTTCCCTCATCATTCATCTCCACCTGAAATCTCCAAGGAACACTTCCATGACTGTGGTGCCATCAAAACTGGACATGTAGCCTTAGCTGATCTTTGAAGCCACACTCCAGACACAGCAGTAAAAAGCTCCCAAAGTTTTCCTGTAGCTGCAGCATACCACCTGGGAAACTGTTCCCTTCTGTTGCGTCAAACCTGGTTTCCCTGGTTGCGGGCAGATGCATTTCAGTTTTGGAGACCCCAGATATGGAATTAGCCTAGCAGTTAGGCTATGAACCTGGAACAGACTTTGCACGCCTGACCACAGACTCCCACCAGTTCTCCTACACACATCACTCAAGCTTGGTTTTCTCCTGCCTTGCTATATGCTGGCCAAGACACCTGATCCTTAGGCTCCCTCTATAGTAAATGGAGAGAAATATGTTTCTCTGGAGATGACTCTTCTAAGACGCAAATTGAGAGCTATATTTTGGCCACTGACTCCATAGAGGCCCGTTGTGCCTATACCTGCAGCCCAGCTGATGTTTTGGAGTGAGACAAAATAACCTGGAGTATCCCGTGCTGCTGCCTGCCTGACTGTAACACCCCAGCAATGCTCCATCCTTACGTGTGGGTACTGGTGACAATGACTCTGCAAATGGCAGACAGGCAAATAAAAAGGCTGTAAAAGGTAAGCGAGTACACAGAGCTCTCACCTGATTCTTGCTGTATTTCCTCATGGTTTTTAAACCAAGATATCTGGGGCTCAGGGATGCCACGAACCTGGCACTCCAACATGGCTGAGTTACTGGTGTTCACTGTCTGATCCACAAGGTGCTGCAGCAGGGCTGGTGCCTCTTGAGCTACAAAACAAAACAACAGCTCTGTTTTACATTCCTTTAACTGTGGGGGTTTCATTATCTTCCCTACCAGCAATTTACTGATGTAAACAGCTACGGCTGTTCTACCAACTTCATTGTCCACAGATTTTATTTACCGTTCCAGTTTGCTTAAGAGCATCTGGTGTGTACAGAGTACTCCCGTTACCCAGCGACAGGAGGTTATGATGGCCAATGAAGACCCAATGATGACATTGTTTAAATTATTTCCTCAGTTCCATTACCAGACACATTTGTTTATTGAAAGCAATGAGTTTCTATGAAAGCTCAGAGTTTTGCATTATCAAGAGAAACAAGCTATGACATCAAACTTTTTAGCAGGACGCCCTTGTAGCAGAGTATCTCTGCATCACTGACAGCACCATGCAGCTCTGTACACCACAATACCTGTGAATGTGATTTTTATCATTTACTTACTTTAAAGAGTACAGTTACAAATCATATTCTGTAAACTCACATCATCTAAAAACAGAAACCATAAGCACAAAAGCATTGCGTTACATGTCCCAAAGTCTTCATAAATTCTTCCACTTTTGCATTTCACATATTTGGCTGAACACAACAAGGCCTGGCCAAACCACACCACAGCCTGCCTGCCAAAACAGCATTGGTGAGAAATGTGCCCATGTCCTCCAGCAGTTACAGGCACTGGAAACCCTGATGGCATGGGCCAAAGCTGAGTGCTAGCAGCCCACACAGCATAGCGACACCACTCCTGTTTTATCTACTGACATTCATATGAACGCAATGTAATAAAACACATTTCCGTGACAGTCAGTGACAATGAGTATTGGAAGCACATCTCATCTGTTCTGCTTATGCTCAAGGGCCTCCCAGAAGGGCATTTCAAAAACACTCTGTAAACATCATGTTAAAGTCATTCCTGGAAGAAGCAAAACAACGAATCTTTCTCATCCTCATTTCAACCCTTTGCCACTCCTTCTCCCATTTCGTACAGAGTCGAAGGCTGTTCTGACAAAGATAAAGATATTTCCAACATTTATGCATGTTATATGGCAACATCTTTCTGTCATATTTGCAGCTTTCACATTATCCTTTTTTGTACTTTGGTTTCTTTAAAGCAGTGATGGAGAATCCAGATCCTGAACAATCTCACAGATGCAAATGCTCTGTAGATTCCCTCAAATTCCCTGGTCTTGCAAGAATCAATTATTTGTAGTCTTTCTCTTCAAGGACGCTGCCAGGATCAGCAGTTACTAACATGGTAAGACATACATTACAAAATGTGAAACAAAACAAAACAAATCAGAAACCAACTCTGCAAATATTTTCTTTTAGATTGCAATAGATGCCAGTACGCCAAGTTCAAGTATAATATCAGCTGAATTTCTGACATTCTGTGTTTGGAAGATTATTCTCTACCCTTTCAGTAATACTGACTAGCAGACACTTCCATCTTCACAATCATTCTGTTACCAATTGTAAATAAAAATTCTCCAGAAAAATTAAGCACCTATGTACCAGCAGTGTGCACAAACCCTGTAGCAGTAATAGCACTTCTAAAGTAGGCTATCTTTGCTATGCTCTTACCCCTTGAAATTAATTCCAGCATAGTCACAACCCTGCAGAGAACAGTTTGGGTTTTTCTGAGCTACAAGTCTGTAATTTCCACAGGAAATGTTAGTTTTTGTTTACAGTGTAGTAGATAATTAATGCTCATAAGAGAGGCTGTGAAGTGAACTCTTCATCAAATACCTACATAATGACATGGTCAATTGTATTTGCCTTGCAGCCAAGAAGACTGCCCTCTTCTCATTAATACCTTGCCTTGGTTTTGCACAGTTCACAACACAGTCTGCCTATGAACTGTCTGACACATGTCCACGTACGCATGCTGAGAAGAGCTCCCCTTTTCACATTTATCAGCAGTCCCTGGTGGACACCCCAGCCCAGACATCCAAAATGAAGGCAGACAAGATGACACAACAAAGGCAAATCACACGTTCTGTGAGTTATTTGTTATTAATTTTAATTTGTTTATAGCCATACACTAAAGATGGGTTTTCATATTAAGAAAAACTTTTTTTCTTAAAACTTGGATCCAGTCACCATTCACATACTTTCAATAATTTCTCTGCTGCAATCAGCTGGTTTTTCAAGGACTTGATCAATCTGAGGATTATTCTCTTTTGCACACCACCCATTTTTTCCCCATTCATTTTTGCAGTGAAGCCAAGGGGGGAAGTTTCCAATGCCCCACTCTGCTCGCACTGAAGCCGAGGGGCTGCCCTGGCCGCCAGCATGCACAGTGCAGGGAGCAGCACCCAGGGCAGCCCCCCAGGCTCATCCCCAGCCTTCATGCCTGCCCTCAAGTGCTGTCCTGCTGGGACAAACTCTGCTCTCAGTGCCCCTGAGGAACTTCATTGTAGGCAGAGTTCGGCCCAGGGGAGTGACAGAGGGGTCACAGAGCGGAGAAGGGGATGCTGGTGTCAGAGCACTCCACCGACCTAGGGTGGTAAGGATAGAAAATCTGCATTTCCAAAAGCAAACAATGGCAAACAGGAGGAAAATATTACAATTTGTTCATTTGGGGGTATACTTTTGTATTCCGTCCATTTTTGCCCTTTGTTATGATTATGTTGTCTCTTCACTTACTTTTATTAATCAGTACAAAAATATAAATACAAGCTTTAATTTTAACACCTTAAAACCCCAGAAAGTATAATTCACAACTTTCCCCCTAAATAATATATTACACAACAGAAGGCAGAGAAACTCCCTAAACCCATGAGGTTCTCCAATCATCTGAGGACATCAAAAGTGACATCAGTAGTTTTTATCTGGCCACCAAGATCTGCTTTCCTCAAATGTTTCCAGTGAGGTTTCTTTGTGCATCCCAACATGGGCAGCCACATTGGGATGTTAGGACATCCTTGCACAGCACGGCCCTCCAAGCGCTGGTTGAGACCAGGCTGGCAGGACATCCACCCAGCAGTGATACACATCATCGCAATTCACAACAATTTCACAGAGGAACGTTCTAATTGTCACATCTCTTTTTTTTTTTTTTCACCCCAACTCATATTGCCTGGCAACTGGCTGCTACAAGTCATCATGGTCCAGCTCCCAAGGCCATGGAAAATTCATAACTTCCTGTCATCACCGCCCACCTTGCCACCAAATGTCTTCTCACAAAATAGCCTTGTAGAAAAGGGGATTCTGTATTGTAATTCTTTTGAAGACTTGCAAATGCTAAAGAGCACACTTGCGCCATTTTTAAGCAGTCACCAATGATCTCGCTTGCTTTTTAGGCATATTTTAGGAAAAAAAGAGACCTAGGTCCCTTTGCAAGAACACATTGTTTCTGGAAGCCATCACACTAATAATGAACAAAAGAGCTACTGTATACAAGCAGGCTATAGGTGACATTTCAAGATATAAATGATTATTCTTTTCTTTACTCTGACAACTTCCAGGTTATCAATTGTTTTCTAAGCATTTTAGGCTCCATGAAACTGGCATTATGGGGAAATGCTATTGTTTACCCTTTCACACTTGACAAAAGCAATTCCCACGTGAAAGACAAGTTTAGCCGTGGGACACAGTCTCGATACCTAAAGGAGGAAACAGTCTGGTGAGTTCCCAAGCACAAGAAACTGTCATGTTGTCACCCTCTATTTTAAAAGCACAACCACTTTGTTCCTTCACTGCAGCTATTTTGGTCACTACAGTCTGTTTTGTTATGGCTTGAGTAAATGCTATATAAATGATCAGTCATAAATGTAACCAAAAATAATCAAAGCTATGTATTGTAAAAAAATAAAGTTATCAGATCTATTAAAAATAGTAACTTCTTCCTTATACAGATATTATAATACATAGAAACATCTCATAACAAAATCATGACTAAGGAAAAAAAAGGAGAAATGCTCACAAGGAACTTTTAGGTTGCCCTTAATTCTCCTTCAGCACTTTGGCTGGTTCTTAAGCCCCATAATAAATCCAATTATCATTTGCATACCAAAAGCAATGAATATTTTTAATGGTTTCAGTTTTGAATTTGTATTTTTAAAAACATATTAAATGACTCACTGTGCTGTTTGCAACCTTGTCAGTTGTGTTAGTGTAATATTTCTCATTTAATAAAATAATTACAACATTACAAATTCCTGTATCTTCAGGCCAGGAGCAATATTCACACTTTTATCAGTAGCTCTTTACATTAGTGCAGAACTGACTTTAAAAATTGACCAACACGGCAACTGGAAATCTACCTGGATTTATTTGGAGAAACATGGTTCACGTCTGTCAGTTTTAAAACCATCATTATTATAAATCATATGATAGGTCTGTGCATTATATCAACATTTTTATTTCTTCCCTGCATACTTCCTTTAGAAGATACTTTTTAAGATTAATGTACTTTAGTGTAGAAAATAATTTCAAATAAATAAGCATTAGAACTTGCTCAGCAGGTAATATTTATAAGTCCATCAAGATCAGATTAAAATAAAAAATATAAAGTCCAGTCAATCTCAAACTGAATTGTGCTCATTCTGCACCTTAAAGTTAACTTATTAAATGTCCATTGTTGACTGAAAACAGCAGTTTTTAAAGTTAATCAGTTTATTCAGCTTTGACACTTTTGACGAGGCCGATATCAAAGCGGAAGAAAAGATTGTTCCAAAGTTTTCTTTATCGCTCAGTAGGAGACAGCAAGAGAAAAAATAACAACACGCAAAATGTAGCACAGGGGATCTTCCAAACCCCAGCTTCCACGTGCCTTTTCAAAGCAGAAAACACCCGTCTGAACTCAACTGGAAGCTCACACGTTACGATTTTGTTTGCTATTCCTCCTATGTCCAACCCATGGGGGAATGTGCACCACCTCAGGGCCTGAAAGGTAGCAACAGCAATAAAAAATCAAGATGATATGAGACACCTGTTACTGTTTAATGAGTCCTTTAATGTTTTACATTGCTTTGTGTTGTACAATCATTCCTTGTGCTTTTATATTTGAGGATCCGAGAGTAAACAGCCTTTTTGTTGCAGTGCTCACCTCTGATTGTAACGTCTTTCTTTTGAACCACTTCTTTCCCCGTGTATATGTTCCTTGCTCGGCAGGCATAGGTGCCTGAGTGTGCCAGGGAAACGTTCCTGATGGTCAGAGTGAGGGTGGTGGAGTACTCTCTGTTGAGAGACCTTCTTGCTTTCGTTTGGTTGTTGACTGTCCTCGGTAAAATCCAAGCAATGTCTTTGTACAGGAATTTGTTGGCTGAACAGGACAATATCAAATTCTCTCCTTCAATGGGCATTTTTTCCAAACTAATGTGGAATCCACTTGGTACATCTGTCAAAAATCAAGAACACTTTTTAGTTTATACGAAATGAATGAGCCAAAATTAACACGACATATATTTTCCCCTTTATCAGGAAGCCT